AAGAGAAATAACTTGCAGCAAATATAGGAAACCTTTGATATTGGATATATATTTATTCAGGGACCAACCTTGTCTATCTTTCATCAATAATTATCGTGGGTCCTTTATCTCTGCATTTCCTGACTCAAACCTGATAACATTTCCAATTCATGGTTACACTAATATGGTTAGCATATATCAGGTAATTGATTCCACCTTCTAGAATCGCTGAGTCACAACAGAGCAGCCAGAATCTTTTTTGCTTCACCACATAAAGGAAATAGATAATTTCTGCATCCTTACCCAAAACTGCTTCTGTGAGCTAAATGTAGGTCATAAAAGAGGTCTGTGATGAGAGAAGCCACGATTTCCCCACACTTTGCTTCTGCTTTCTTGATTTAACCTTACCCTCACTAGAACAAGTCTTAGTTCACTGTTGTTTTAATAAAAATTTCCCAACATAATAAAACTAATACTTTGGATTAAGTAAACATTTGAATGGCATACCTGAAGAACTTTAATGCTCTTTAATCCTAGAACTAAATTGGTAAGCTATTCTCCTCATCTGTAAAATGAGAAACACGAGCTCAACAAGCTCAACAGACTTGCTCAAGGAGGAGTTGGAATTAAACCATAGGTTATTATAACCCCCAAGTCAATGTTTTCTAAACTACTTGACTATCAGAATCACCTGGGAATTACCTGGAATATTATACATCGATTCTTAGGCCCCATCTCGGGCTGTTCCACAGATCTATCATGGATAGTCTCCCTCTATATATTCATTACCTGCTATTTGTGTGACTTAAAAAAAAAATCTAGATTAATTTCAGTCAAGAAAGGAAACTAAACCAAACTATATTTTGTATAAGCCAAGAAAGATGTACATGGTATAATTCTTTTGGTAACTTATCTTGAGCTGCCTCTTGTTTCCTTTCTGAAGTAGATTGTTTTCTCTGTCAGACAAAAGATTAAGAGAGACTAATTCCATGGCTATAGAAATGGGCTTATCAATTGTCTGTGGTGCATAACCAGGAGCAGCCCTGAATTATAATGCTTGCTGATTTCAGTGATGTAAATACTCCCACTGTGGCCAAACTATTGATGATTCAACAACCAGCTCACAAAACCCCTGAATATTTAACAGTGGGCCCATGAGCCAGCTCCAGCAAGCTACTGGGTATAGAATATACAGGGGGGGAATCAAACAATTTCCCAGCATTACCTAAATCATCCAATATGTAGTTTGAATTTATGTGAACTCATCAAATATCATTTTACCTACAGATTGGCTTTAGACTATGACTTCCAAAGGTGGCTCGGTTTCCCCCAGGTCCTCATTTCTCAATTTCCAAGGAAATGCTCTGATAGAGGTCTGGGGCACAACAAAGCCATGATGATGAATAGAGTCCTTGGTGGAAGAGAAATGGGTACCATCTTTCAAGGATGGCTCTTGCACTCCACCTGCCATGTGCAAGCTGCCCCATGTTTGAAACACATTTATGGGAATGAAGCATAAAATGAGACTTATGGAAGCTTAGCTCGATGCCTAAGAACCAAGGGCTGTGTCTCTGTGCTTCCAGTCATTATAAGAAAGACACGTTTAGACATCAAAGTCAACGCTAGCCCAAAAATCCACTACACAGAGCTGAAAAGACACTGACCTACTTTTAATCCATGAGGTAAACTGGAGGCACAAGCTATGACCAGTGGGGCACGACCCTTACTGTCCAATGGCAGAGACTGTTCTTTTGCCTAGAGTAGCCTTTGTACAACAAAATCACCTTGGGAAATGGAGTGATTATGGCAGTTTGACAAACACCTAAAAGCGCATTAACATGATAACTACCCACCACATGTACTAGTACCAAAAGCATATTCCAGAACCAAATGTAAATGTTTCTAGGATAACTACCATTTTAGAATATTTATTCTTTTGATAAACTTCCAGGAGTCAGAATATTTTTGAATGCTATCAATATAAAACTGCAACAAAGAAACAATTTATCCTTGAGCTCCTTAGGTAGCCAACCTCAGCACTGCTCTATGTAAGGATAAACTTATTTCATATGTTAATTCACTTTCACTGGTTGAATCCATTTGTGCAACAATTCAATGATCACATTCTCTGCTTTCCTGACTAGAAAAGATATTTATCTTCCATGATGGCAAAGTGGGAATTTAATTCTCAGATAAATCAACCAAGAGAAATGAATCACGATGGGTCTTAAATTTTAGCATAAACACACCAGAAGAGGTGGTATGGGTGAATTTCAAGTAAGAACATTGGTCCCATCATTTAGTCTGTTTTTCCATATATAAAATATTTATGCTTAATTCATATTATAACTTTTCCTACCACATATTATCATGTTCTTTATCCTTAATTCTCAGCATCATCCTTCCAGAATTCTTAGCTTGGAATTCAGACTCCTATAGGAATCCACAGATGAGACAAAAAATTTACCTGCAAAATCTCTCGTGTATGTATGTACATCTGTGCATTTTAATCTGGGTTCTCAATCAGGAAACTGAAAATATCAGCATCTGGGGTAAAGATGGGGGCGGGAAAACCCTCCCATTGTGATTTTGATGTTCACTCCTCAGTCTCACTTTTGAGAWATTTAGACAAAAAGACCAAGCTATGAGTTCATAATATTGATGTGAGTATACTGTACCTGTATACATATACTCAAGTAGAAGTTATATTAAAAGAGAATAGAGACTGAATTTCCTAGGCATTTCCCAAAGATAAATGAAATCTTATGTCAACACAAAGGATTGCATACAAATAGGAATTAACAGCTTTATTCATTAGAATTCCAAATTGCAAACAATCTAAAAGTCCACCACTGGGAAGAATAAATTAAAAAGGAACATGTATGACTTTCAAAAATACTGTTAAGTAAAAGGCAGATATAAAAGACGATTTCATTGATATAAAATTTTTCCCAAACTAAAATTATCAACAGAAAACAGATTAGTGACTGCCTTGGGGACAAGGGATGGAACAAATTTGACTGCTAAGGAAAATGAGGATACTGTAAGGGTGATGGAAATATATCTTCACTGTGGTGTTGGCTTCACAAATGTATACAGCTGTGCACACTTATTGAGCTATAATTTTTCTTAATAATTTCAGTTTGTAATATATCAACACTTGCCTTAATAACTGATAAAAGTTGAATTAGTGATCTCAGCTCCTAAATACTAGCACAACTCATGGGACAGGTCTCATTTAATTTAGACTATTTACCCACCAACTCAAATTCCTATCATTCATATTGCTCTTCTAGTATAAGAGATGAACAGTAATGATCCCTCAACACTGTTCTCTCCCCTGGTCCTCTGGGTAGTTTTAAGACAGAGGTGGCCAGTAAGTTGCTGCAGAACTAAATCATCACACAGAGTAGGGTCACAACATTGACTCCAGAAGAATCATAGCCTCCTATTCTAATTGACATCTGGTAGATCAAGTTCATGTGGCATGATTCACTGTAATGGGTAAACTCAGATATTACAGTCTGTACTTTTTGTAACATAAGACTATATATAAATTATGCAGTTCACGGAAAGCTAGCTATAATCTCTTTACTATGTATTAGTGGTCAGCCATTAAAAACTGTCCCAAATAACCAAACAACCAACATTTAAGGAGGAAGAAAATAATTGATGCCTTTAAGCTTCTAGAGGAACAGTAAGTTCCAAACTTATATTACAACTATTATGCCTCAGAAAACATTTGTATAAAGCTAATTTTTGTTCTCAAAGCCAGCTATTCCCTAAGTCCAAGCTTTAATTCCATGTTTAATGCCTCGATAAACTTAATTTATAAACAAATTATTTTAAAAGGTTAGTGTAATGATGGCAATCTGTATATCTACAATTCTTTACAACTTCACAATATAAGACTAAGTTACTGTGAACCAGTGATTGTAAAAGCACTTTTGACCGAATTAAGCACTTTAGAACAGACTGTTTTCTATCCAATGGACATTAATATTCTGTATATTTTGTCTTTCATACTTTTTGTGTAATATTGTAAAGATTTTATAAAATCCACATTTTTAGAAACTTAAATTTATCATGATTTATAAGATAAATAAGACAACTGAACATGTCCAGTAAGTGGAGTAATAGATTCAAAAAGCTTGTGTTAAATGTTTAAAAAATGAGTCTGCTTTGAAATTCTAAATTTTCCTACATTTGTGAAAATGTATCATAGACTCAGCTTCATTACATTTAGACAGCTGAGAAAGAAGTAAAACTTTTGATTAACCTGTGATGAGTAGAATATTTCTAAAAGACAGTTGTTCATTCCATGTATTAACTTTCTGAAGAAGCCAAACACACTTGATCAATTTTTATTTCAAAATGTCTACAAAGTTATAATTTTCCAATATACAAATAATTTTCAAAACCCAGACATTATTAAATGTAAGCCAAAGTTGTTATACAAATAGAATACACACAAAGATCAAAAATATACATATTCTCTCAGCAAACTTTGTCATATAAATAAGAAAAATATATACAGCTGGTATTTTCAAAGTACAATTACCTTAAATAACACTGCAACCACATATAGAAACACTAAAACAAAAGTTAAAAGGACAACAAATTCATTTTACAACATCTACAATTATAAAGACACATAAAACCAATCTTAGGGAAATGTGTACTCCATACTGGAATCTTAATTTTCACTTTATTTCTTTAGCTTATTCTCTGGATGGGTGAAAGTCATAATTCACCAGCAATCCTTGACATCTAAAACAAATGACAGAACATGTGAAGAACTATATAATCTAGGTCTTTGAATTTTGGGATTGATGTAAAAGAATTTTTAAGAGCTAAATTTGTATAAGCATGTGTTAAAATTTTCCAAGTAAAATGAATATTGACAAATCAACTCACTTAAGCTGGAAATGTCAGAAGAAAATTCAGATACTCAAAAAAATCTAAACACAGTGAGCAATAAAGAAAAATTATGCCAGTGGTTCCCTAGATAAAAACAAGGTTTATGTTTTGCCCCAGAAATTCTCCTTCCTTTTCTGAGCTCGTGCCAGAGTTTGAAAAGCCCGAAGGCTAGACGCAGCAGAGCGAGCAGAAATCTCAGACAATCTGTCCTCATCTGTAATGAAAAAAAAATCCCATGATTATGTTCTGTACAAAAATACCTCCTGAATAAATATGATATTTTATATAACATTAACAGAAAATTAAAAACATCAAGCCTTATAATTATATCAATGTTGGGTCTATCAAAAAAAATAGTAATCTATTAAATGTAAGATTTTAACATTTTCATGGTAATTTTCCAAGTTTATCTTACATAGATATCAAACATTTTAATCTGAAATGAGCATTTTTTTTCCCTTTCCTGAAATCCTATAATGTCATTAATTAAACACAGCCAATGATTTCAGTATTACTTGGAAACAATTCATCATGACACTGTTTTGTCCTACTTTCAAAAGCACAGCTATTTGGGGCAAAAAAAAAAAAATAACTTTTTTAAAAACAAAAGCCATATATTAACATCATTCTTATATCATATTTCTAAAATAATGTCACTAAGTACAGAAATAATGTTTGAATATTCTTCCTTATTGCTGAAATTCCTCATTTCTGAGTAAGCAAATCTATAATATTTATTTATAAGCACTGTTCTTCTACTAAAAAGAAAAGATAATGTGATTCAAAGTTGCCAAATATTTTGCATTTTAAAACATAACTATTTGATTTCTAGCTCATAAATACTAAAAAAAAGTCCCAAACTTACTAAAGGAAGAAAAAACTTTAACATATGCAATCTAAAATATAATGTATTAAGTTCAAATTTATTTCCCAATTCAAAATTTACAAATTCAGTTATTCCATAATTCTTTGTATGAATCAATACAATGATTTCAATTGTTCACCTAAGGATTCAAAATTCTTCCTGCCAATGAATCTGTCAGAATGGAAACTGCACAGGAGAAAAAAGCCCATTTTCCCTAGTGATATAAATATTTTTCAAGAACTGAAAATTGACAATATGCAGGCATTTGAAAAAACATGGATGTAATACTAGGCCAAATTCCAAAGCCCAGAGCTAGACAGGGTAGAAGAACAGAAAGAGCACCTGCTGTGTGTAAGGTGCAACCTCTTATCACCTGTTTGCCATAAAGAATACTCTTCACCACTTGACCCCTGTTGCTTATTTGTAAAAAGGGGATAATTTCATCCTCATCACTATTTCAAGAATCTAATGAAAGAAACATCTGTGGAAATACTTTGTAGGCAATAAAGTGCTAATCGAATATATAAACTATCATATAAAAGAACCTRTATTTTTATCTTATATGTTATGAGACTGAAATACCTTCATCATGAAAGCCTTCATGTTGAGGTAACTGGAAATCATTCATCCTTGCTTTCCCCGCTAAAAAAAAAAAAGAAAGAAAGAAAGAAAGAAAAAGAAAAGCACAAGAATTTATCCTTCAAAATCACCAAACGTCATGTCTATCTCTTCCAAAATTCATATCAGGAGTGAATTGCCATTGAGATGCCATGAGGAGGTGGGACCTTCCAGAGCTGTTTAGGTCATGAAGGATCCACCTTCAAGAACAGACTGATGCCATTGCACAGGAGTGGGGTGTTTGCTCCCTTTTCCTTTTTCTCCTGCCTCCTCTTTGCCCTTTGCCACAGGATGATGTAGCAAGAAGGCCCTCACCAAATGACAGTTCCTCTAGCCTGCATTTCCCAGCCTCCAGAACCATGAGTCAATAAATTTCTGTTCATGATAAATTACTCAGACTCAGGTTTTCTAACACAGCAGCACAAAACAAACTAAGACATTACAGTAAACCCTTAAAGAAAGTAGATGACCAGAAATTTTATTAAGTTTTATATTTCAGTAGAAATTACTATCAAAGAGCCCTCATTAATTTATAATGTACACTGCAAGTACAAAAACAAACTATGAATAACTTCCTAGAATTCTTTTCAGTAATACTCATCTAACATTAAATAAACATAGTAGGCTCCTGTTTAGAGATGGCTGGATATACACATTTATAAAAATGACATAAACCCAGAGGACAAAGACATGTAAGACAAGAAAAAAGCAACAAAATTTTGGAAAGTGGAAGGCAAATCAAAGGTGAGTGAGGTGTGTAGTTCAAGCAAGTTGAATTCTTAAGCCAGTAGAGGAGTGAAACAAGAAGCAACCATTTTCTGCCCCTCATGGCGTGGGGTTTGGGAGTACTGAGTCTCACAGCAAGCTGTAGTGAAGGCCAGATGAACCAGGAAACAGGTTAAAAGTCTTTTGCAAAACAGCTGGACCCTTAGGTTCTTCTTAAAACTTACATAGTGACATAAATATTTCTCTCCTAAAAGAATAAATGGAGATTTTGTCTCCAAAGGCTCATCAGATACCCTGAGATCAAGGGTGCCATAGTCAAAATAGGATTTTATACACATAAAACCACATAAATATTTATATTTTAAAAACTGTCTCTTCAAATAGATAAAACACTCCCTCTATGAAGTAAGAATAGGATGCCATATAAAATGAGTTTACAGCATTAAAAAAAAGTTCTTAGAAATTAAAAATATTATAGTGATTTTTTTTAAAAAACAGAGGGAGGTAAATGATAAAAACCAAGTTAAAACAAAAGACAGAAAATAGGAGGAGAAAGAAGAGAGAAAAGAAAAGAAAAAATCATATCCAATTTCTGAATAACAGGTGCCAGAAAGAGAAAATTAAGGGAAGGAAATTACTATCTAAGAAAATTTCCCCATATTAAGAATTTTCCAGATTGTTGAAAGACCTACAAAGTACCAGTAAAATGAATAAAGAGGCCCCCTCCAACACACAGCATTGTGGACTAACAGGGCATTTGGGTGTAAAGAGAAGATTCCAAACGCTACCAGAAAAGAAAATGACACATGCAAAAGAYGAAGAATGAAAACAGCATGAGACTTCTCAAGAGTGACAGTGGAGGCCAGAAAACAGCAGAGCAATGCCTAACAATGCTAAAGAAAAACAATTTCTGGTCTTAAATTCTACATCTAGGCCATCAAGCCTGGAGGAAAGGGGCTACTAGTATCTGGAGGTTACCCACATATGTATGAGTAAGAACTTAAGACAAAACTCACACTTACATATAAAAGTAAAAACTGAACTTAAGTGCATCATAACCCAGTGTCCTAAAGAGAATTTTCCTATTTAAAAAAATAGGAAGATGGAAGGAGACCCTCATTGTTATACAAAATTACATATAAGATGGTGTGAGGGGAAGAAAAAAAAGAGAGAGAGAGAGAAATGTGTCACAGTAGATTGGGTAGAGAGAGGTGAGGGGAGGGGAGGGGAGGGGGGATAGGTAGGGCAGCAGAATACAACAGACACTAGTATGGCTGTATGTATAATCGTGGCTGTATAACCAATGTGATCCTGCAATCTGTAAACGTGGAAAAATAAGAATTCATACCCCATTTGAATCAAATATATGATATGTCAAGATCATTGTATTGTATAAAAAAAAGAAGACATGACATAGAAGCTGAGAAATTCAAGAAGGAATACAGAACATTTAAATGAAAGATACCTGGGTAAATATAATTTTAACATGTAACAAGAAATGATGAAGAAATCTATGAAATAATAAGACAAAATGGCCCCAATAATATGTGTACCATCCCATATGAAACAAAACTTCCGGGATCAGTTAGAGTGTGACATTGTTCATCCTCATCAATAATTAATAGAAATTAAAATCAAAATTAAAGACCACTAAATACTCACGAGAATACTAAAATTAAAGGTTAATAATAGCCTACTGTTGGTGAGGTWGGTATAACAAGAACTCCATTCACAGATGGTGGAAGTAAAATTATCAGAATCACCGTGGAAAACAATATAACATTATCGTAACTAAAGACTGCTTCATTACCCAGCAATTCCATTCCTTATGTTTACCCAACAGAATCAGGAGCACAAGTACAAAAAGACATGCTCAAGAAGATTGGGGGGAGCATTATTTGTAGTACCCCAAACTGAAATAACTTCAATGCTCATTGAAAGTGGAATAATAAATGAACTATGGTATAGTCACACAATGACCAAAAACAAACAAAAAACTAAATATCATGATATATGATATCATGTTAGCTAAATATCATGATATATATATCATACATAAATATATGTAGTACACACTTATAGCATTTTACCTCTCTGTGCCACTTTCATTTTAAAAGGCAAAAAATTAAACCAAAATAATTACCATTATGCTGAAATTCTGGATCTCTCAGGGAGCCCTGAATTCGACGAGCAGGATGCCAGTAGGAGGGAACACCCATTGGAGAAGGCAACTGTCTGGGAGTGTTTGTGGGATATTCTGGAGTTTTTGAAACCTGAAGAGCTGTCTCAGCAAATTTAGGGAGATTAGTTTCAGAATCTTCCCGCAAAGGCAGAGGATCAATTGTTTTTATACCAGCAGCAGGAGAAGTCAGTAGGGATAGAGCACGACTTCCTTTCTAAACACCAAAAAAAGAAAAGATACATACACATATATTCATATACAGATAAAGAAACCAGGAACTCAAAGTTAAACTGAATGACCATTAAAACTCATAGGAAAAAACACGGGACATTCTATGTCATCTCCATGGAAAGAAAATTTTATAAGCATAACATCCAATATCTATCAATGATTTGGCTGTATAAAAACAAAAAAATACATTAAAAATCAAAAGAAAAAATGGCAAATTTGAGGAAAATATATAACTTGTATGATTGAAAATGAGTTATTACTGCTCTATAATATTTAAAGTACTATGAAAAAGATAAGCCTAAATAAAAAGTACAAAAAGAACATGAATAAGCAATTCATATACACAAATACAGCAAACATATTCTACTTTGTTAATGTTCAAAACATTATAAAATGAATGCATTGAGATAATAATTTTTTTTTATTTCTCAAAACCCATAAACCTGGCATTTTCTTGTTTTATGATATGAAAAATTCAAATACCATGCTAATTTTTACTCAATATGCTGAATTTAATGAGAATGATCTAAACTTTTTGTTTTAAAGGTATGGTTGCTATAAGTAACTTACCTTGTTATTTCCATTTTCCTTATATGTGTTTTAAACCTAAAATTAGGTTTTGAAATTTATCAATTTCTTCCCAAGTTAGTCTATTAACATAATGAATTTAAGCAAAAGATTTTTATGATGTCGAAAAATCTTTTCATTTATGGAATAAGCCCTACCTACTTTAAGATATTGTATTGTTTTTAACAAGTTCTTAGATTCATTTGGTATTTTATTTAAAATTTCTGTCTTCTCCAATACCTACATCACAGCAAAAATAAAATACGATAAATATTTTGGTGAGATACCAATTATTTGCTTACCAAACAGTAAAAATTCTTTAAAAAAACAAAAAGCAATAATACCCAGAGCAGGCAATGATATGGGAAAATTGGCATTCTCCATAGACAGACTGTGAGCACAATCTTTCTGGGATGTTTTTGTAAAACACAGCAAAAGCCTTAAAATCTTGTGTCCTTTCATCATGCAGTAATACTTGGGGAGTAAATATTTACAAAAACAAAGAGAACAATATGAACAAAAAGGTAGCCAAAGGATGGATTTCTTTCTTTTTTTAAAATTTTTTTTTAGTTGTCAATGGACCTTTATTTATATGCAATTCTGAGAATCAAACCCAGTGCCTCACACATGGCAGGCAAGCACTCTTCCACTGAGCTAGGACCCCAGCCCAGGATGGACTTCTTTATAGCATTTTTTCAAAATAGAAAAACTAAGAAATCTAAATAAAAAATAATTTTCAGCAAAATCTAGTTTAAAAATTACAGTAAACTATAGATTGTATACTATATTGCCATTAAAAATAAGATACTTTGAATGGTATGAAAATATGTTCACAATACAGGGCTAAGTAAGAAAAACTAGATTAACATATACACATACAGCTGTATACCTCAAAAATTTAATAGTGAATGTCTCCAGAGAACAAGGATGAGACTATTTTCTTTTATGATTTGGTCTAGTATTTTCTGTTCCACAATGATAATGTATCATTATCCTAAAATCCTGATGATTTTACTTTTTAAGAGAATATAAACTAACAAAATTAAATACAGTTCCAAACTTTCCTGATCATTCCTTAAATGTTGCCTTCATTATTAGCTTTGAATATATAAATGCAACATTCAAAATACTGCTTTTTAACCTCAGGTATCATATGCTGCAATTGGAGGTTCAAAGTGGAGATAACACGAAGTCTCAACCAACAAACATATTTTAAATCAAGACCTAGGATAAAACCACAATCTCCCACTTGCTTGTCTTTTTAACTATATCACTTAACATAACAAAAATAACTCTAAAGGGAAATTGTTCTTTTTTTTTCATTTATCAGCAAAGTTTAGATTATTTATCAAATCAGTTTTATATTATTAAAGAAAATCTGAAAATAATTTGAATGCTTAGGGTTCTTGGGTTTAATGTGAGTGATGACATGATCTGTTTTTGAGTCTACAGCTCCTTACTGGTCTCAGTGCTTCCACTCTGCCCTGTATACAAAAGTTCTCCAGTGAGTAGCCAGGGTGAGTTGATTTACCCTATAAATCAGGTCCTATTTGCTTTGCTGCTTCAGATCTCCAAGGGCTCCCCAGTGTTATTAGAGAAACATTCAAATTCTTTACTCCACTTCCCTTTCCAGCTTCATTTCCTACTCTCTCCTCTTCCCTGTTTGGGCTCCAGCCAAAGGGCCATTTCACTCTGTTTAAACATAAAATGTGTGCTTCACTCTTCTAGCTAAAAAGTAAGCAATATTATAAATTAACAAGGTCATAATTTTACTGCTCTTTGCTTTATTTCCTTTCTGCAAAAATGAACAAAAAATTAACATGACTTCTAAGTACAACTGCTTTAAGAAAACAAAAATCATGCTTTGTAGAGTACATCAGCAGCCTGAATTTTATCTCTTGGGAATTAAAATAACCTTAAAATGTGTACTTGCTTTCCAATGAGCATATGACAAAACTGAAATTTTTATAGATGGTAAACTTTTTAATTTCTAAAAGTAACACAGAAGTACAAGGTCTAACCAATTCTATTCTCTTTATCTCAAAATATTGTAATAAATATCAATTATCCTCAACTCACAGTCAAAGTTATAGTTTTCAACGTTCTTTCCTCAAATAAAATTTGGTACTAAGACAAAAGGCAAAGGCAACTTAGGTTATTTTTCATATTGCTAGCATATCATATAATTAATGTTATGATTGTTCAGAATGTTTAAGAAATCTTTTGAGTTTGGAAATCTGCTAAAGTAGTGTCATTTATTCAGTGATGCACTCTAACTCCTCTCCTCCAACTTTGTGATGGCAATTAACTTTATGGGATGAAATTGCTTTTCAACAGCAAGTGATTTTGTTTTCATTGTAAAAAGTTTTGGATTTTGTCTCCTACATTTTTAATCATACAGAAACACTAAAAATATCATTTTTTTCTTTAAAAAAGAAGAAAAAAAAACAACTTAGCCCCAGGTAAGGACACTTGCACTTGCTATTCTTCCTACTTGGAAAACAATCTCAGCATCAAGGTTTGGCACTGTTCCCCTCACACAGTTTCTTCCACTTCTTCAGTTTCATCCACTTCTATCCAGGCCTGTTCTCATTAGCCCAAGACATCCCAACAACATCCCCTACTTGGACTACCTCAATGGACTTTAAAAGAACTCCAGTCTACTCTTGCTTTCTAGGATAACCACCAAGAACTTGCAAAATATAATCAATCACAGTACTCCATTATTTAAAATATTTTGATGGCTTCCCATTGCTCTTGAGATAATAAGAGAAATTTTTAATGCTGCTATCTTTTCTAGCCTCATGATCTACCATGCTCCCCACCACACAATGCACTGGTCCTTATTTCTTAAAACCTGTGTTCTTTTTCTCTACAGATTTTGGTACGTGCTATGCTCTTCCTCCCCACCCTTTGTACACAGGGCTTCCCCTGCCTCTTTATCTCAGGTGAATTATGATTTCTTCTAAGAGGCATCCTTGATTTCGAAGATGCTTCCCGACTTCCATGATCAGGTCAATTCCTTCCAGAACAGCACTATATATTTCAGAGTTTGAAACCCAAATTAGTTTTAATTTCTAAATTTTTTTTGTATGATTGATTAGTTTGTCTCCTCACAAGACTATAGGTTCCACAAGGTCTTGTATCATATCTGTCCTTATTTGCGTCACAGCCATGCTATCTAGTATGTGTATAAATGGAGAAGCAACTCCTGCTGAATAAAGAAAGTAACACACATCTGGGTTTTTAATATCATTTATAAAATCTGAAAATGCTACCTGAGGATCAAACCAATATCATGAGAACTCTATAAAATTTTGTGAGACAGTTATGTTTAAGGATTAAAATCACGAGCTCTGAGGATAGACCAACCAAAATCCAATTCTATTCCTCCACATGACAACCATGTGACCTGTTTCATTGTCTAATTGAGCATAAAAACACCTCCCCAAGTTTATACATGTAAGGTGAAAGTCACCCTAATTGTTGCTACCATATAATTTCTACACAATTTAAGGTATGTGATTAAAAGTTAATGGTGAAAAAGTTCCTGAATATTATGACTTAGTCTAATTCCTACAGCAAAAAGAGATATAAGGTGCTATTAATCAAATGTAATTAAGTAATGGGAATAATTCATTAGAAACTAAAAGACTATGGGTTTAATTTCATACGTAACAATAGTTTTTATAAGAAAATAAAGAAAAAAACTGATTTGGCATATCAAGTTTAATGACTCAAGTTTAATAACTCTACCAACAGCAACCAAGGGATAGAAAATAAGAAATAATCACATCTAGTTCCTAGTCCAGACCCTGATGCTACTTGTGACAGAAAATTCTGGTGGCAGAGACTTCTAATCAAGTTATGAATAAAAAATATGCTTGTTTCAGAAAAGTTTGTAATTCAAATGTTATAATATATATATTATAATATATATAGTATAGTGTACCCCCTGAGGTAGAGATTGGCATTAAAATGTCAAAGGACATTATTAGTCTATTTATATTATTCAAAAACTTAATTCCACAATAAGTGAAAATAATACATACAAATCCACTGCAAACAACAAATTATGTCCACCCACTGTGGCTAAGTCTTGTGTGCCCAGCTGCCTAAAGCTTACACCTTCCAGGTGGCAGCCTGGACTCCTGAGGAGGGGGCAGAACAGTCCATGGGGGCAAGTGATCGTCAGCATTTTATTCTGATCAATCCTCTGACTATCCTCCTATTGTCACATTTCATTTAAGAAACCAATACATGCATAAGCAACAAGAAATAGTTCAGATATTCTATCACCCAAATGATATTCATTCACCATGTATATAATAAGTAGCGGCTCTGAGCTGGCCTCTATTCTGAGCAGTGGGGTTAAGAGGACCTCTGATACACTCCCCCACCTCTCCCTGAAACCCCTAAAAAGTCCTACTGTGTACTCTACAACTCATGAAAAGCCATTAACAAAATCACACACAGGTTTTCAATCCTTTCTCTGAACGTTTTCTATTCTACTTTAACCACTTACACCCATGAATATATGTGAAACCTTGTCATTACTAGTAACTGCAACCTCTTCATAATCTTAACTCCTAACCAACACACCTCTCCTAACTTTAAAACTAATCTCCACAAGTACCCTAATTCTAACAAGTGTTTAAGGCTATGAAGACTTTCCTCCCATTGATCCTGCAATGTTTGCATTGTCTCGTAACCTTCTGCTGTCCTGCCTAATGACTTCCACAGTCAATTATCATAAATCACTTCCCTACACACACTATAATTCCCTTAGCCTGTTTCTCACTTTTTTCCCTTAACAAAACATGTTTACAAGTAGTAGTTAAATCCAACTCTACCTATCCTTCATCTCTGCAACCAAAAATATGCCTGGAGAAAAACACACAACCTGTCCCATTTGTTTTGTATCAAATTTGTGACCACTAATCTACAACAGACCTTACCACTGCCTTCCATGTTCCACATTTCCCGTTGCTTTCCTATTCTCTGATAAGTCTATTTTATGACTCCTTCCTTTTCTTCAAATCTCCAACATTTTCTTCCCCAGCCTCATTTGCAGCAAGGATATTCCTTTATACATCACCAAGAAACAATCAGAAGACTCTCTCCAAAAGCTCCTTCACATCTTCCTATGTTCGTTAGCACTGCACAGGAATTCTGCTTCCCTTCTTCTAACAATGAAGGAATGTCAGACTGCCCAAGACCAACCCTTCAAGTCCCCACCAGATCCCAAGCCTTTTCTCCTACTCAACATCTTTGAACAATTGTCCCCATACTCCTGCTTTGCTAATCTTCTCTGTCTTCAGAATTATAGTCATCAACATACAAACATGCTGCTACCTTTCCAATCTCCACCTCACTTCTTAAATCTACATTCTATTACTCTGCTTCCTTTTTGGAAAAAACCTCTTGAAAGGACTGTCTGTGATAGCTATCTCCAATCCCTCTCCTCATCTTTCTCTTCAACCAATTTGCATTTAAGCTTTTGTCCCTCCTCTACCCAAATCTGCCCTTTATCAAGGTCATTAATGACCTCCAAGTTGCAAAAGCCAATAATCAATTTTTACGCTTTATTGACATCAGTGGCACTGACACTGCCTCCTTGATACCTTCAGGATACCAGGCTCCTCTCTGTCATCACCTCACTGGCTGTTCCTCTGCTGGTTATTTCTTAACCTCCCAATATTGCCTGCTTTTTTCTGTCTATGACCACTCCCTTGATGATCTCGTCTCGGATTTTAAATACCTATACCACCTATATGATAAAGAGCCTCAAATCTGTATCTGCTGTCCAACTTGCATATACATGCCTACTTGTGTAACTAATAAACTCTCAAATTTGACATGTTCCAGCATGTTCCAACTCTTAAGCTTTCCTGACAAATCTTTTCCTCATAGTCTTCCCCACCTCAATTAATTGGCAATTCCATCCTATTTCTAGACCAGAAATCCTGGCTCTTCCTTGATTCTTCTCTTTCTCCCACTGCACATGTGATCTGTCAGCAATTCTTGTCAGCTGTACCTTCAATCTATATCCAGAATTGAACGTCATCATATGACCTTTATTGCTACACCGTGATCCAAACAACCATCACCTCTTGCCTGGACATGGTAATTAAGTACTAATAGGTTTCACACATCTGCTCTTGCACCCCTACTACATATTTTCCACACAGTGGCTAGAGTGACTTTGGAAAAATTAAGGTAAATCATATCACTCTTAAACCTTTCAATAGTTTCTCATCTCACTGGGAATAAAACTCAGAGTCTTTCCTATGAGCTATAAGGTCCTACACATTTTTGGGCTGGGGAAGTGGCTCAAGTGGTAGCGCGCTCGCCTGGCATTTGTGCGGCCCGGGTTCAATCCTCAGCACAACATACAAACAAAGATGTTGTGTCTGCCGAAAAATAAAAATAAATAAATATTTTTTTAAAAAAAAAAAGGTCCTACACATTTTAGCATGCCATTGTGTCTCTGAACTACTCTGTTCAGTCACATGACCTCCTGGCTGGCCTTAGGAATCGGGCATTTTTTTACCTCTAGACTTTGCACTTGTTGTTCTCATTGCCTAGAATTCCTCTCTAGATATTTACAAGTCAATCCCTGATCTTCTTCACATTTTGCTCCAATGCCACCTTCTCAGGGAAGACCTCCCTGGCCACCTCCCATTCACTTCCCCTGCTTTATTTTTCTCCTTAGCCTTTATCACTACTTTTGTATTTTACCTAGCTATCTTGTTTATTGTCTCTCTCTTTCACTAGCACATAAATTCAATGAGGATTTTTGCTGTTTTTCACTGATATATCTCCAATACTAAAACAGTGCCTAGAACATAATGGGAATATAACTGCCACACAGTTGGTGCTCAATAAATAGTTTTGTTTTTCTTATCTTTCTTCCTGTTGAGTCACTACTAAGATTTGAAAGCATATCAGCAGCAATGCAGCAACCAAAAAAAAAAAAAAAACAACGAAAACAACACTCAATGCCTATCATTCACTTATTATATGTGACAAAAATAATCTGCTACAAGATACAAGAGATGTTCTTAAATATAAATTAAATATAAATATTTACCTTAGTAAAATCATTCTTCAAAGTTTCTAAACAATCCTGAGAGGACATTTTTCTCCTCTGCTCTGGGACTAGAGACTTCACTTTAGATGGGGACACTAAAACAGCTCCACCTGGAAAAATGCAGAAGACAGGTTTCAATTAAACTATCTTATCATTTAGAAAATGTAGGGAAATGAGAACTGCATAGTGTTTGCCTATTACCAACAGCTGGAGTAGTAAGATCATGATGAGTCCTTTGGATTCCACCAAGTTCTCTCAGCTTTGGAGTAGGAAGCCTACCTCCATTTCCTGAGCATACAGAAGAACCCGACCTACAAATTGGAACAATCTATTAGGAAGCATTTTCTCTAGAAAATATGATTTTTAAAAATACTATACCAGCATTGTACAACAATAAAATACAAAACGTAAGAGAAGGCCATTTTGTTTCTGAAAAAATAACAAGTCCATATGCAGTTAAAAGGACTGAATACTAGAAAAGGGTGGGGGAATCAGTGCAAGTCAGCAACAACACAGCTGAGAACTCTTCAATTAAATCAGGCTCCAGGCCCCACACTAGCTGTAACACCCACAAAGGAACAAGGGCTTTGGACTAAAGACAAAAAGCACCACTACCAATGGTGCAGAACCAATCCCCTAAACAATTTTCATGTAAAACAACAGGAATTAGCACATTTCAGAAATCACTTTTTAAAAAATTCTATAAAACATTATCCTTTCTTTCTTTTTTGGTAGTACCATCGGATATTAGTTAACATGCACTTTTTACCTAAAACAAAAAAGTCGTTCTTCCAGGCACATTTGCTAATATTACAAATCATAACTCCTGGACACTAATAAAAATAATCCTACTTTTTCCACAAGGAGTCGAGAGTTTTAAGTGTCCAATTACCAATTAGTGGTGACTAAAATATCTGAGTGAATCAAATTATAAACAATATAGCAGTGAATACTTGGTGACATTAAAGTAAAATCTGCTTTTTATTAGTCACAAATTTAAAGTATATTTTAAATTTATAGTATATTTTATAGTATATTTATATTTATTTTATAGTATACATAAAGTATGTTTTTATATTTATTATACTTAGTAACAAATCAAATACATATTAGTCATGTATAATATTCTATACATTGATAAATTTAAAACTCTCACCCTTCTTTTATCTTGTCTGCCTTAGATGCCTCGTGCACTTCCATCTTCTCTGGCTCTCCCATATATACCTGTTTGTCTCTTCCCCTTTCCTCTTCCTGTTCTTTCTCCCCGCTGGGCTGTTTCTCTATGTCTTCACTAGTATTCTCTGCGTCCCAAGCCAGCCGCCTTCTAACAGGCATGGTGGGGGCATCTGACATGCCTATTTCCTCCATGGTATTTTTCTGGGGCTGTTCTTCCAAGATGTCTCTTTTTTCTTCTGGTTTTGTACCAGGACACTTCTGCAAAGTCTTATGACTTGTAGGAACTCTGCATAACAAAATAAGCTTTGTTTTAAATTTGAGTAGCTTGAGCTTTCCAGTTAATACTAATTATATTGAGCTCATCATTTCCTTCCACTGTTWACAGCTATATGTTTTCCACAAATATTGCCTTGTCTAGGTATTGAACAAAAATTTCTAATTAAAAGTTCATTTCATAGAATATAAATGAAAGTTACCATATCTCAAGTTGACTTGCTCAGTTAATAAATTAATGTTATGCACAAATTCAAGTATACTTGGGATCAAATACACCAATCCAAATTTTATATTTTAAATTTATTTTTTCAATACATTATTAAAGACTAGATTTTGTGATACATTTTAAGTCAAATGTAGTACAATTCAAATTTATAGATTAATTTGGTGTACATGATTATATTGATATACTGTAATAACTAAAAACTATTTTATTTGCTATAAATCAAAATGTAGTTTCTCTGGAAAATAATTAAATCATGTTCATTTTGAAACCTAAAACAGAGAATTCTTCCATGATATCAGGGGCCAATCTCCATAGTAGCCACAAAATCCATTAAAGAATGATAATGAACATGTACTAATAGATTATATTGCCTGAGTTTTTATTGTTGTTGACTCTTTTTTATAATTTCTAAAGTCCTTTTACATCTGACATATAATCATTCTAATTCTGCTATAAATTATGACAAAGAATATTATATAATCCAGCCTTCCAGAATTACATTATGTATTATTTATATGCAAATACTTAAATCAAGTATGTGTATATATATATATATATATATGTGTATATATGTGTGTATGTGTGTGTATAGATACGTATGTGTACAGATCTCTGTTTTTACACAGAAAATAAATTTAAAATAATGAAATAAGTGAGACATTTTTTCATTTCACCAAAAGATAAATTTTGAGTAGGCATGTCATCTTCCTATATCACTCCATGATTCATTTAAGCTACAACATACTTTTCAACAACCACAAAGAAATCTCACCCTGCAAGATCTAAGGCTTTGATGTTGCTACTAATGGTTCCCTCCGAGCTTGTGGTTGAGGAGACATCCCAACAGCAGTTTTTATCAGACAGAATCTGATTCAAGTGGTCCCGAGAAAAATGTGTTCCCTGAATTCGTTTCCTATAAAACTCAGCCTTCTCTCGGAGTTCTTTAACCTATGCAGGAGATTCAGACAACATCCATTATGGTAAATGCTGCTTTATAAATATCACAAAGTAGCAAACACTGCACAAATACAGTCAGGGACGAAGGAGAAAAGAAGGTGAAAATAGCCACATACAGTCATCAGACTATGTACACTTAAGCAAAAATTAAAATAATCAAGCTAAAGCATGATGCAGGTATTTTATTTCAGACCAGCAGGCAAGGAGAAATTTTTAGGAGCTAAGAAAAATATTGACAACTAATTTTTATTCCAACTTAAATTAGACAAGGATTTGATGCATTATTACAGTTTTAAAAAACTCAAAAGCAACCAACCTCTGCATACCACATGGCATTTAGAGAACCCTAGGGGAGGAATACAGAAACATACTTAATGATAGGTTAGTGCCATAACTGAATATTAATGAAATAATGAATAATAATGAAATACTATACTCATTATTCCTACTTATAAATATATACCAAACTTATTAATATTTTTAATAATAATTAATTCAGTAATTATGATATCTTACTTAGTATTATCTTGAAAACCAGTCACATTCTTGCATGGCTAGGATACCATTGGTGGCAAGTAATCTGATCCCTATTCCCATCTCCCCACCTCTAGAAAAGTACTTAAATGCCAGAAACTCCCATCCTGGCTTTATTTACATCTTTATATGCTACTAATATAGAAGACCCCACTGAAAGAGTTGTGAGTTTCCCTCTCTAAATCCCTCAATTCCCTTAAAATCAGCAATCTCAACTTTTTTAAAAAGATACTAAGTATACAATTAAAAAGAAATTCCACCACATGATGTACCACCATGAGAATGGGAATGGGATTAATTTGAATAAGTTATACTCCATGTATGGATAATATGTCAAAATATATTCTACTGTCATATATACCAAAAAGAATTAAAAAAAAGAAATTCCAACAAAATAATAATTATAATATATTCAACAAGATGACAAGATATAAAAAGATTGTTAATGTAATTTGAATTCCCTAATATGCAAATAACATTTTCATATGAAAAGAAGCCTTATACCCATTGGAAATCCTTTTATTTTATACATTATACTGCCACCTGCTGGCTTCACTAAATACATTTGCACAATTTAAAAAATTAAATACATCAAAGCTTTATCCTTAAAATTTTACTTAAAATCTTTATTTATTCTTGAAAAAACTATAACATTTTTTTAATCATAAAAGTAGACCATTAGCATTAAAAGACTGTCAGGATATTGTGATAGAAATGTTTTCATTTCACTTAGAGGCAAAAAAAGAAAGAAAAAAAAGAATGAAACTTGGCAATGCAAAAGCCACTGAAGAAACATATCCTCAGTTTCTTAACAAGACACTCTTTTGAAAGCAAAGAGATTGAAAGTGTTACATTTCTAAGGAAATAGAAAAAGCAAAAAACAGCACCTATGTCATAAGAAGCCACATGATCCCTGCAAAGCCCTAATGCTCTGAGCTGAACCTAAAAAAGAATCCTAAAGGAGAATTTTAAAAATCGTTTTCTTCACTGCCCCCCCAAAATCCAAGTATGCTCATTTTTCATTTCTTTCAACTCCTGCACTTTAAAGAAAATATCTTGTAGGGGGTTTGTAATTAATAGGTAGAACTGAAACACATGGGTTGTCTGTTGAATGTCTAACCAGTGTATTTGAATGCACAGCAACCATGTTATACAGTGCCTTGACATACTCCTGACTGTATGTCTAGGAAATACATTCCACATGCTTCATGGCCTCTCTATTACCTACACAAAGTCTGCATGCTTTAGTATCACTTCCTGCTCTGTGTTCTCAAAGACCTCTTCCATTAGCCTATGAACTCCTTGAGGTGAGGGGGAATGTAGCATTTAAGCACTGATTTCATCATAACCTGTTCTGAGTATGGATGAGAAGTAGGCCTGAGCTGCAGAGCTAACAGAGATAAGCAAGAAACTCCCTTGTACTCAATGAGTTTCTAGTCCAATAAAGGAGGCCAACCTGTACCTAAATATTCTAATATTGGCAAGTCTATGTCATAATAAACCAGTGAGCTAAAACTTAAGAAGAGGTTCAAGAGGGGGTCCAATCAGTACCGCCCCGTGTGAAAGAGTGGAAGGAGCAGTAGAGGAGGCTGCATTCTCTCCATGTGGAAGCAGCTTATTGCTTGTTCAATGAAAGAATGGATGAAAAGCCCCTCTATGTACACAGTGATCCAGTTTTGATACCAATTATATTTAGAAAGGAAGGAGATAGTTTATAGAAATTCTGTAAAGTTTTAGTTTCCCATTTTTACTGACATTTAAAACTTGATGCATTAAATTTTCTTTATTAGCAATCTTTATGAATAATCTCAGTACTGATGCCGTTTCCACAAATACAATCCTTTAAACTTCTAGAATTCTAAAACTGAGAAGTTAAGAGGTTGACATCTCCCAAAGTAAAGTGTTCTACTAGAAAGAGAAAAAAAAAATCAATAATGTAGATTAAGAACAACCCCTACAACCACAACCAGAACCACTAAAAAGGAAAGATATAAACCATTCCCAACCTAAAACAATATACACAGATCTTTCTGGGTTAAGTAATGCCATCATATTATATGATATAAATGCTATAAGTAGGATGTTTTCATTATTTAATTACTTTTTCCAAACTAAGCATTAAGTCATTTGAAGTTTATATGCCGAAAAATCAAATTCAGAAAACTGGAGGGAAAGAATCTTTTTTCTCAAAAATCATGCCTCAGTTGGGTGCAGTGGCGCACACCTGTAATCCCAGTAGTTCAAAAAGCTGAGGCAGGAGACTCGCAAATTCAAAACCAGCCTCAGCAATTAAGTGCGGACCTGAACAACTTAGCAAGACCCTATCTCAAAATAAAAAAACAAAAATAAAAATAAATCATGCCTCCAGAAAGAGGAGTCACTTTATATCTAGTCCTTACATCTGTCAAATTATAAGTTGACTCTTGAATGTGGGACTTTATCTTCAAAGTCCTACTTGTCCTATTCTAATGTGTCCTCACATTACCTCAACCAATGTTTGCTGACCAAAAGATTACCAAACAATGGAGCAAAAAATAAATTTAACACAATTCAGTAAGTTTTCTGAGGGCAAGGATCTAACAATTGCAACTCTTGGTTGTTATTATTTCTCTTAGCTGTTATTAAAAACAATATTTTAAATAAGTACTTCATAAAACAGTTGTATAAGTGGTTATATTACAGAGATGACAAACATAAAACACCTGACAAAGCCTACCACTAAGGTGTTAAGTGAAGAGGTACTTAGGACTTAGGACAAAACACCCGGTGACTTGACGATAAATACCACGTTTCCACAATATAAAAGAAAATGAAGATGATATGTGGACTTGAAAACTGTAACATGACTCAAAAAGTGACAATATTTTCATGATAAAGGTCACTTATGTCAAAGTGCATTCAAAGAATATGAATGGTGCATTAAATATTAGGAAGGGAAGTGACAGAGAACCTTATATTTAGGCACCTCATTATCAGCCACATACAGTAAATGTCTTTGGGTGGTGGAAAGGGATCTAAGATTTTAAATAAAATATGGCCTACATTAAATGTCTATAACCTGGTTAACAAAAACTTACTAATATCATTGACCACTAACTTATTAGAGAAAATTTTTAATTCCTTTCAAATTCCAATTTACTTTTAAAAATTATTTTTCTCAAAGAACTTAAGACAAACTATGCTTCTAGTTTAAATATTTACAAATAGCAGTAGCAATTAATAAATCAAACAGTTGATTACAAGATATCACAACAGAAAACCTTGAAAATAACATCTTAAATTTACAACAAAGTTCCCTTCCATCATGGAAATATCAGGAATTTCATCTTTTCATGACTTCAACATAACAATCCTCTCAGTCCATTAAATGTTTAGACATGAGGCCTAAATACCAATTCATCTTAGTGTAAAGATGTCTCAGAGACTAGGAGATAATCTTTCCAAAACAAGAGCTTCTCACCATCTCCCTCTAGTAAAGTGCCCAAGCATGACAGGTCAGCAGCCAACCCTATGTAGTGGCTACCTCAGTGACCATATGTGTTCTGCCTGTGTCCTTGACTTCTCCCCTGGCCCCATCACAGAGCACAGAATTCCTTGCCAAGATATGGGACACTCATAAACAGCTCAAGAGTTTAGCTGAAGGAAGTATAAGTGAAATAAGCTAAACTCTGAAAGTCAAAGGTCAATAAGTACTTTATAAAATAATTTTATGTGTTTTATCTCAGGTGTGGAAGTTAGAGCAAAAAAAAAAAAAAGCAGCTGGGTGGTAGGTGGGGCAGGAGGGGGGCATCTCATGAAAATGGAAAGGAGACCAGTAGAATAGGGGAAGGGAACCAGTGGGAGGGAGGAAAGGAGAGGGAGGGAGGTACTGGGAAACAAAACAGACCAAATTACATTATTGTATACACATACAAATATGTAAAAACAAATCCCACTATTATGTATAATTAGAATGTACCAATAAAAGAAGATAATAAAAAATTCAACAATAAAAAATAATTTAGTTGCCTTGATTCTTCTTCCATCAGGGCTGCTTTTGATGCTCAACTTTTTAACTTGATTTCACTAGGGTGAACAGATGAATGCTGCCCCAGATAAAATCTGGGACAGCTGGAGCTTTGTGTCTTACTCTGTCTATACTACCACTGAGCCACGATTAGGTAGAAAAGCACCAAGAGCAAGCATGGTAGAAGATTAATCAAGTAACTCCTAGAACCAATCAAAGCCCAGAAGAGGCCAAGAAATGTGTCTGGGAGCTGCCAGCTTAAAGAACCAGAAGCTCAAAGTGCCAGCACCTTCACTAGGAGTGAAGCCATGCAACCCTTGGCAATGGTTTTAAGGACTGAGCTAAGAGATTCTTTGCCCATTCAAATTACCCTCTCTTTAGAATGTTGGGGGAAGAAGAATGTTTACCAATATCTAACAAAAAATGTTTTAATTTAGTTTATGCACACAGAAAAGGAAGGAAAAAAAACTTTCAAGATATGGTTTTAAAGATACTAATTAAATGATAACTAGAAGTGCTCCTTTGCTTATCCTTTGCCTATTAGAAACTCCAGACAAGTAACAATTCTCAGTTTTAGGGAATAATTACCCTTTCCTCAGACCTATCTTTAGATTCCCAAAGTTTCTCCCTTATATCAGGGTATCCCAACACTAAAACTCCTCAAACTTCTAAGAACTCAGGCTTCACCTTCCTTTTGCCTAGAGACAGTAATGTACTTACACACTGACTGGAGGTTTGAATGTCATAAAAGAATCAAATCTATGGTGCTACAATTCTGTAAATTGAATTTATTAAAATAATCAAATGTTTCATTGCAAAAAAAATTTTTAACTTTAAACAGGTTAATAATAAATATTAATCTCTAATAAGACTTTTGTTATAAAAATAGTAAACACATTGATAAATTATATTCTAATGCATACAGCTTGAAGTTCCTGATATTTTTAGTGCTATACTCTAAAAGTATGTTATAGTGCATCTTTAAGTCTCTGTTATTAAAATTCATTGTGAAATTAAATTGGTACACAGACAGAAAGCAAAGGGGAAATAACACACTCACCTGATCTGGCACATTTTCCTTCACACATGTCCAAGCTCCACCTTTATATAAATACTGAGCTGGGCTCAGAAATTTTGCTTTATACTCAGAATTCACCTTCCTAACAGAGAGGAAATGAAGGTAAATATTCCACTATGTTCACCATCTAAATACCATGGTATTTTTCTAAAATACACACCCAAGCCTCTGATGTCTCCAAGGAGCAAGCTTCTTTTTAGGCTGGTTTGAGTCCTTCGATGCCATCTCTGCTTCTAATTTTAAAAGATCATCTGTTTTATTACACTAAAATGGAAATAATTTAAGATTTTATGCTTCAAATAAAAAGTAAAAACACAGATGTTATAAAGTTAAGCATGGATATTATATTCCATTTCTGTTTTAGAAGCAGGCTTTAAACACTAAAGATAACAGAAGTCACAACAAATCAATAAGTAAGTTTTGAAACCAATATATCTAGTTAGTTTCGGGGAAATATAATGCAGGATATGGTTTCATTTTCTAACGAGAAACAATTTAGACCCTTTGGCTAGGGAAGATTAAAAAATACACATCTAAATAATCGAACTTAATGTTACTATATATTGAAGAGTGATTGAAGATTTCTTTGATGTTCTAAATTTACATTTAATTGTTACAGTAATTAAATGTAAATTCTGATGAATAAGTTACCACAATGCTTTATTGAGTAACTTAACATTTTTCCCCAAGAATGTCACAGTTAAAAAAAAAAAAAACGCAAATACATAGACACATATAATTTTACTTTTAGTCACACACTTATTATAGAAACCATAAAGTATCAAGTTATCAACATTACAGGAGACTCAAAAGTAACATTTATATTTCATTTTCCTGTCATTTATGATTTTAGTCTAATGCTGTTACTTAAAATGGGTATAATTTCACATACTGAAGCAAATGTTATATTGTGTATAATGYTATATTGTGTATAAGTGATGTGAATTATACTAGTTATAACTTAGCATGCTAAGGTTTTGGCTTAGAACACATATGTATGTATTTCTGTTTAATTTCTATTACTTAATTTACAATATGTGTTTCTAATTTTCCTGTTATACTTACAGCTTACATTACTGTAAGGTCAATCATTTGATATCAGATAGTATACTTACCTGCTGTATTGCTAAGAGTTCATCACACTACATTATTTTTGGGGGTGGGGGGTGCTAGCAACTAAACTCTGGGACACTCAACCACTGAGCCACATCCCCACCCCAATTTTGTATTTTATTTAGAGACAGGGTCTCACTGAACTGCTTAGTGCCTTGCTTTTGCTGAGGCTGGCTTTGAACTTGAGATACTCCTGCCTCAATCTCCCTATCCCTGGGACTACCAGTGTGCACCACCGAACCCAGCCATATTATTTTTAATTACTTATAATATATATATGTGTCCCACTAGCTTGGGAGCAGCTTGGGACTTGGTGTGTTTGTCATCCCTGTAGTCTCTGCACCGACTCAGTGCCTGGCTCCAAGTAAGTACTTGATGAGCATCTGACATATGATGAGCATCTGACGTATGATGAACAAACAAATAAATAAATGCACTAACAAAGAAAAGAAGAAAGGAAAGAAGGGATCTAATCATGGGGATTTGTTTGTTTGAAGGTTAAGAGTCAATGAATACCTTCTTTTCAGGAGATACTGTTTCAAGATTTTCGTTTTCTTTCAAATCGTTTCTTAATTTGGGTTCTTTCACTGGAGATAAGCCTTTGAAATTTCTTTTGTATTCAGTTTCATGGACAATTGAATTACCTTTGAATTGTGGAACAAATTGGGCTTTATTGTGGAAAACCTTAAAACAAAAATTAGTTTAGTTTAGATTTTTTGTCAGTTAATACAGAACTTAGGTCTTTGCTTTAAAAAAAAAAAACATATATATAGTTGAATTATAGGATTAAAAAAAGCATTTTGTCATTTCACTTCATATGTTTAATTAATATCCAAAGGTCAAATTTCCATATTCATTATTATATTTTAAATAATAGTAACTGTAATCAAAATAATGCTTAAGACAAAATAAGTAATAAACAACACTTGTGTTTTATCTTTTCGTCCCATTTACCTACCTCCAACCTCCCAAAAGTAAAATAGAAATATTTGAATTATATAAATAAAATTGTAATTGTTTTTGTACAAGTTTTGTCCCTCCTTTACATAAATTTTCTCTTCTTATAACAATATAAAATTCTTAATATTTTGAATACCAGATGTGTTTGAGTTTTTCCATTGCTTGCTTATTTTTACCTTTTTCGTTAAGCAAAAAAAAAAATTCGGGAAATTACATTAAATGTTTTATTTTACCCTTAATGTTTTATCAGATGGTTTCAATCTTATGGTATATAACCACTGATTACAAGGAAGTCAAATGGAATAAGTAGGAGCTCAAGTAAGTTCTACAGTATTGTTATTTTAAAATGCTGAAAAGCACATCTTCATTCAGATCTAATCCAAGCAGTTTGCCTTTTTTAATACGAGACAACCTCAAGGACTTTTCAGTAGAAAACTGTTCTGACTCCTTTACATATTTAATATAAAACATCCTTTCAGAGGACAGGTGTCTGATAAAATAGAACTGAATAGCTCTATTAGAGGTTCCATCAACAAGTAATGAAAGCTTATCATAGAGCTCTTCAAGTCACAGACCCTGAAACTGATACGTTTTTGACTTACAAAGAACATTTGCTTCCAAAAGAATTCTTTAAAACCCTCACTAACGAAAGTAATAAGATTACTAGTGAAGATATTGCTATTGATTTATTTCATGTTGTACTTTTGATACTATAAAAATAACATTCTTCACAATGCTTTCGCTGACATGTAAAACTTGTCAATATGGTTCTGATTTGAATCAACTTTAGTTTATGAATCAAATATTCCATGAAAACTGAACAATTACAATTTTCAGGTCATAAAGTAATTTTTTTAGGTACTTAAAATCCAAAAATATCTGTGAACAAGCAGAAGAAGTACTAAACCTATTTATTAGGTTAATATGTTCTTAAAATGTTATAAATTTCAATAAGCCCAAAACTGCCACAATGTATGCAGTCACTGGTGTTATTATCTTAGTGTAAGATGAATGAAATTGTTGTCCTGCAGAATCCAACTATCCTCTCATCTTAATTTTTAGAGGTATATAAAGTATACAAGTGAATGTTGCAGTACAGGAAAAAATGAATGTGAGGGGGTGTGAAAGAGTGTGTGTATTTAATCAAGACAAACACAAAGACCAGGAAAAAGAAAAGGCTAAATTCTCAAGGGTCCTGGAAGTAGAGCTATTTCCTATCTAGGCCTGGAAGTATGGTTAAGAAAATAAACAAGGGTTCAGATCCTAAGAAATATCTAGAAGATGGTAGCAATAAAAGAGCAGAATATCTAATATCACATTTTGAATTTTATAAACTGTCAATTATTATTATTATTCACCTGATACAAAAACAAAATTACATATCTTGTGTTACTTCAGTGTATTTTATATTTATTAAAATATATATCCGAACTAGTTATGTCTTTCTTAAAAGATAGAAAAATACAAAAATATTAGTCAACTAAGCACAACATTTTAGAATAAAATCAATTTAATAAAATTTTTTAGTAAAAAAATCTTTTAGCATGCAAAAACTTACCAGTTCCCCAAGTTTTCATTACCCTGTCTCATAATTAGTGTATGTGATGGATCTGGCAACAATGATCATCAGTAGCCTAGGACAGTATAATATTACTGCTATAAATCATAAGTAGTAAGAGGATTTTAGCAAAACTCTCATTCTCAGTTTTCTAGAACCTACCTCCGGGCCTACTTAAGTACCAAATTTCTTTTGGCTTTTAATTCTATGTAAATTTACATCACTACATCAGATGATGATACTTAGAAACATATTACATCCTTTAAACTACCTCATTGGCTGCAAACACTGGAACAGTTTCTTTAGAGGTCTTCCAAACAAACTGCCTTTGATATTCAGAATTTCTCAAGGCATTATGTGAAGGAACAACTGTCAATCCAGCTTTCTTACGTAGAAGTCTATCCACCTGTTCGAAGGAAAAAAAATATCACTCAAAGCCGTTAAAAATTTCTACTCAAACTTTCTTTTCAATTGTGCTTAGAAACACAAAAAAGAAATCTATCCTCTTTAACAAGTTTTTAGGGCTACATCACAGCATTACTAACTATATGCACATTATTGTGCAGCAGACTTTAAAACTTTTAAATGATCTTTAAACTGTTAAACTATTTCAAATTCCACTCTTAATACTGTCAATGGACTATTATGCACCCCAGAAAAAGGCAGCATCTCTCAGTCCCTTCCTATCAATCACTCATAATTTAATCTATTACCAAAAAAAAAAAAAAAAAAAAAAAAAAAACAGTACCTTTTCTAATCCATACATTATTTATATGGACACCCACTTCCCCTGCCCACCAGACTCACATCACCTTCCTTGATTCCCCTGCACCCCTAGTTTTCTCAATAAGCCATAGATTCTTCTCCAGCACTCTGAAGTGCCTCTGCAGGGTTCCAGTCAGTGGTGGACTTGAAACAAGGAAGGAGCCATGGATTGAAGGCAATGAGATCCCACAAAAGAGCCCCTGAGCCTCTGCTTATGTGCTCACAGGGAACAGTGGCAGGTCAGCTGTGACAAAAGAGAGCAGAACTGCAAGATCTTTAACAGCCAGCCAGAACTCTCCTTCCTTTTGCATTTGGTCAACTGAGATTCTGTTTGTTTTCTTGCTGGTATACAATAAGAAACCGAAATGGGGATGGGTAGAAGTCAGCTCAGCACCTCTGCCAGAAGTAATGGCCTACTCCCTTTCTGTCTCAACTTGATCTCTCCCTTAGGACTCAGGTGCCGATTTTGATGACTAAAATCCAGAGGCAGGCTGTTCACCCAATGAAGGCCTATCCTAGTAAAACCAATTCAAAATATCGAGTATGAAGAATAGAACCATTCATACTAACTGAAGTCAACAGCCTCTTTATCAACTATACCACAGACAAAAAACAAGGGAAAAATTTTAAACACAAACTGTAATATTAGTGAAGTGATGTTAAAACCAATAAAGAATTCTAGGCTTCTGGAGAAAAAAAAGTACAATGAATATGCCTACCCCATCATCTACATTTTTGGAAAGAAGCTTGGTAGAATGTTCCAGTTCCACATTTTCATTAACCGGTACATGGTTTGTTATTACATCCTCGTTCTTTTCCACAGCACATGAAGCTCCTTCAGATCTGGAGTCTGCAGAATGAGATCTGGTTCTCTTGGGAACCCTGGAGCCCTCTAGTGAGAGAACTTTTTCTTGGTTTACATTGTTTTGTTTCATCTCTTGTGATTTTGGTATTTCTGGGACTTTAGGTTCTGGTGATACAATCACATCATTCTTTGAGATAGCTCCAATCCACTCCAGAGATTTTGAAACCTGTGTGTCATGGTAAGGGACTCTTCTTTTGGAAATAAAACTTGGCTCTTTGGTGATCCCTACAAAACACAGTATACAAAAATAGCTACCAAACCACAAAGTAACAAAGAAAACTCTTAATAATACCTATGAAAGAAGAAATGGAATTTAAAATTCAGTTAGAGGTATATATACAGATACACACAAACACAATTTCTTTCAGAATCAGGATATAAAGCTAAGTATATTTTTCAACATAAAATATTTAATTTTGCTTTATCAAAGTATTAAAAGCTTAACCATAACCAAAAATTAAAAATTGGGGTCACAATGCTCAGGTTATCTTTACACAAGTCACTAGAATGGAAAGGTGAACAGATTGGCAAGCCAGCGAGGACATGTTGCCTCCATCTCTAATTACTTTCCTGTTCTACTTAATAGAACAATGAGCCCTGGTCTGTCAAAATTTGGAACTCTGCACAAAGCTTCTCTTATGCAGAGCAGACCAAAATGAGAAGGGATGGGATGTCATTATGCTGGATCGTGGTTCTACTTTTGCCTTGATTTCCTGAGAAGCAGAAATAATGAATCCTTTCAACGAGAGTTAAGATATTACTTCTCTATACTTCTGTCTGGCAAGCAAATGTCCAGAAACTTCACCATCTACTGAGGTAAAAGAAGCTCTGCAAATGACAGCACTGAGACACTGGCCTAGTTTGGAGTCATTCTTTAAAGAGAAAGAAGACTGCTGCAGAGAGGGGAGGAGGGTGAAGATCAGAAATGGAAGAAAAAGGAAGGCAGACAGAGAATTGGTGATAAGATAAAACCAAGAGCTCCATCACCACTATCACAAATGTGTTAGCTGTCAACCCAGAGTTCCTGTCCTTACCGGCTTCTCTAGACCAATGGTCTCCAAATGGATAAGGTTAAGACTTCCCAGGGGAATAAACAGAAATGAACACCTTCCAGATCCTCAAATCCATATGTGCTCTTGCTTTACACTGATCTATGCCAAGAGCTATATCTGCCACCTGCAGTTCTATTCCTACTGCCCCTTTGATAATCACCCTATTCCTACTTTACAAAAGACAGACATGCCTCACAACCCACTGAAACTTACTATAATGCATCACCCCCAGGTATAACAAAATCTCAAGGGTGGGGAGACAAGGGGACAATCAAGAAAGCATAATTCCCAAGGGAGAATAGATGACAGGAAAAGCACAGGCAGACTTGAAATAACAAAGGAATGGCATCTTATTAAATACACTTTCACATCTTTTCCATCCACCTATCTTAGAATCAAAATTCAGACACATGAGAAGGATGTCATGTGAAATTAACTTTTGGTTCAGTAACTTTGAACAAAAAGATAGTTAATTTTTTTTTTCTCACAGGAAATACCTAATTTGGCTATTCAGTTTGCCAGTGAGAAATGACTTTGTCAATTACATGAGGAATATTTTCCATAAATTGAATGAGTTAAGTTGGCAGCCTCATGTTTTAACAAAACTTAAGTAAAGCATCTATTCAATATCCCTATGCCAGTTCTCTCCTATAAACTATTTATAAAAAAAATAAATAAAAATAAATGAATATCAATTTTAAAATGTATGAGGGTAGATAGCAAGATTTTCTAAATTCTTTTAGGAAGTATGAAAGCAAAAAAATTTAAAGAACACTGCCTTAGACTTCTGTTTTAATACAAAGTCAGGATTTGGGTAGGTGCACCAAATGTAAAGGGAAGATTCTCAAGTAGTCTCACCCTTGTCTCCCAGCACCAGCAAATCCCAGGGGTAATAAACACAGAATGTTAAAAGAATGTACATTCAGTCCTATGCAAAAGTACCATTGTTCCTTGCTAACCTCCCACCTCCATTTCTGAGCTCTGGCTCCACCCTTTGCCCTTACTTAAAATTCCCATTGACATTCCTCCCTCTAGACCATTCCTTCCTTCTAAACATACATTGTTCAAAAGTGGCTTTGTTCCCAGGGTCTCCTTTTATCACTGTCCCTTAAAATGTACTTGATCTAAGTTAAAATATTATGGGAGCAACTATCTGGCTAAAAATTGTTAACCCTCTTTTCATATCCCTCTGGGCCTTCAGCAGGATGTCTACATTTTAAGATTTATTTTGCATTCTTAATATAATGGCACCTTGAAAATGTGGTATTTCTGGTCACTTGGAAAGAGAAGATTATGAGTAGAAGGGTATTCCCAACACCCTCCCAGAGAAGCAAGGGATACCCAAGTCTCTGAAGTCACGTTGGGATAAGCATACTGATATTTCAGAAGAATCCTAAAATAGCCACACACTGTAGCCACTCTTCCTTTGTTCCCAAAACCTAATCCTGGAAACACTCCCCACTTTCAATAACTTCCCAGGCTTTGTACTCTACTCATAGGTCTTTCTTTTTCCTGGCTTTAAAATATAGCATTTAAGGAACTTAAGATACCACACATCAGTCATCCATGAGGTACCAATCACTGATCTGTGCATATACACATGCCCTAACAAGCAACATCTCATTTAATACCACACAACAACCCTATGCTGTGGGTTAAGTCTCACTTGGCAAAATGGGCTCACTTTACCCAGGTCATACAGCTATTGTAGATTTAAATTTAGGTTTATTCATTCATTTAAAAAGTTTTAATAAGTATTCAAGTGTTTCAAGGCCCTGAGTTAAAGGTATTGGGAAGAAACAAGAAGACAGAGCCCGGCTCTCAGAAGTATTATACTCTAGTGAGGGAGAAATTAAACAAGGAGATACAGTAAAGTCAGTCTGTCTCTTTTCTATCATGCCTGGGAAAACTTGGTCAGGACTCAGAATTCCCTAGGATATGGGGAGGCAATATATGTAATAAGAATGTGACCTTCTGAGTTCATGGGCTCTAAACAAAACAGACTTGATTCCAAATCACGGCTCTGCCATTTACTATGAACCTGAAGCAAGCCACTTAATCTACACTTCCATTCCTCAAGACTTTGGGAGTGTTCTTCCCCAGGTTAATCCCCTCTCAGCTTTCTATTCCCAGCTCAAATGTCACCTCCTTAGTCTTCTCCAACTATCAAATCTAAAATGTATTCCTTCCAATCCACCTGTCTCCCATATTATCTATCCCACATCCCTACTATTTTATATATAACCTGAAATTCGTTTATTTATTGAACTGCTTATTATCTCTATAATTAAGGGACTTTGGTTCAGTGATATAATCCTAGATACTAGGATACTCTGGGGCCATGGTAAACAAATATTTATTTATTTATTTAATGGTATGTTTATTAAATAAATATTTAAATGTTTATTTATTTAACAAATATCCGATGAATATTTGTTAAATAAATGAATGAGTTAATCAGACCATCTGGATTTTGAATAAATCATTTTTTAAACTGAGTCCAAAGTTTACTAAAGTTATAATGGCTACTAGTTTGCTCAACTTACCTAGTTGATCTGATCTAAGTCCAGCCCATGGGTACCTTCGTGCCACCGAGGCATTATAGGAATCTGTCAAATATGACTTTTTCCACAGAAAGTTTCTCTGGTATTCACTCAGTCCCTGTAATGTAAAGTACAAATTTGAGTGTAGTGTAATTAATGAAAGTTGATTTAAGGCACACATCAATAAAAACAACTTCCAAAACTCCGAAGAGTTGGAAGACTCAAGACTGATAATTAAACACAGACAAGCTCCTTAATAATAACTAATGTTCACCCAGCCCTGTGCTAAAGAGTTCATGTGTTATATCCTTTAATCCTCACAACCACTTGAGGCACAGCTAGTGGGAATCTGAGAGGCTCCCCTTTGGGCGGGTTCTGTGATTCCAAACTGTGAGTGCATCTGATAACCTGTGGCAACCTAACTCCTCATCACTACCAAGTTCCCACCAAGAACACAATATTCTGATTCATGCCTAGAGGCATTTTATATTTTAGAAGATCAACCAAAGAAAGACAAACTTCCTCCCATTCTAGATATGAGACCTTAAAAGAATTACAGTCAGGATTTATGGAACACTGTGGTCACCTATTATGTTGAAGGGTGCTGGTCCCTGAACAGCTACACCTGAACCTTCTAATAAATCCTAAAACAAATGTACAACTATGAAAACTGTGTACTACCCAAACTCTTTTGACTAATGACCCATTTCTCAACTCTTTAAGAGATTCTTACACTTTAAAGTTTTAAAGGGAAGGGGGATTAAACTGTGAGATGGGGTCACAGGTGTCCCAAACTGAAGTCGCTTTTCGTTCCTCCTGTCTCCGCTCCTCGGAATCCCCTCAGATGAATCCGTCCTAATATCATCCATCATCCCCACACACCGTAACTGGGAAGTGTGTGAGAACCCTGAGGGAGCCAGGTAAGAGGAGTGAGCATCCACCAGGGACCGCAGCAGGCAGGCTCGGGGCTGGCCGCCTCGGCGGGGCCAAGATGCGCAGCGCAGGAAACCAGCGCGGCGCCCTCGCCCCACACCCGCCCGGCCGCGGCTCCCCCCAGCCGCCCTCAGGCTCCGAGACCCCGGCCTCACCTTGAAGCGCACCGGCATGGCTGCGGGCGCTGGAGGCCCCTCCACTCCGACAGTTAACGGGACAAAAAGCCCCGAGGGGGCGGGGCGACAACAGTCGGTTCCCTAGCAAAAGCCTAGGCCTGGCGTCCCCGACTACGCGCCGGCGCACTACGCGCCTCCCTCCTGAGACCTGTCGCTCTGCCTTTCCCCGCCCACTTTGAATCTTTAAAACCAATAAAGACTCGCAGAGTCGCTCGCCGTCTTTACGATCTGACCAATCAGTGCCCGARTGGGAGCCACCCACCTCCCTTGCCAAATCCAGAGGGCGAATAGATATGGCGGGCGGAAGGCTGGCCAATGAGGCTCTCTGGATCGGGATGGGCGGAGCCCCGCGGGAGCTTCAGACTCGAAGGGCTCGACCGGTCCTGGATCTGGCTCTGCGCAACAATGGGGTGGGGCGTGCTGGTGGGGTTCGGGTGCAGCCGATTTCGCTGGTCCCAGGATCTTGACATCATAAAACATGAAGGGGTTTGCTTCGTTCCAATGCACAACGAAACCAAATGTTTTCTAAAACTAAATGTTTTCAGGAAAGATATTTGGGGCTATTCCCCTGAAAATTATCCACCTTACACTATTGTCACATCAAAAGGATAGGGTCTAAAAATAAATAGGTTAGAATAAATTTTATTGAAATTCAAAAGGTAAATCGTTGTTTTCCTCCAGAGAGGTTCTTCCTCCCTCAATCTCTGCCTGCCTCCAAAACTAGATATATGTACAGTTCTTAGATTAAACGAAAAAAAAATTATTAAAGATGCTTGTCTCAACTTCCAAACTTTTATCCTTTTTCTCCTTTTTAAAAAATAAAATTCCATTTGATTTTAATAGTCTTATGGCCATCATCATCAATAGATATTTACTGACAGAAACTGTGCTGACTCTGAGAATTGAGAAAGAGAGAGATTGCCCAGACTGTTTTATAATGTGTACTTGGGAAGGATGTGCATATATTCATTCAATAGTCCTATGATGTGTCATGTGGTCAGTTTCTAAATAAGAGGTGAAAATGAAAAGGGTGACAGAAGTTTGAAGCAGGGAGTCAGTCATCCCTGAGGGCAGAAATGATTAGAAAAGGCCTCGGAGGAAATATTCAGACTCAGTCTTGAAGACTGGAAAAACTGCAGTAAGTAAAGAGGGAAATAGTATGATCAAAGGGCAGATATCTGGRTACAATGCCCCCAGATTTCTTCCAGGAACAATGAATATAGCACCTTCTACTTTTATCATTTGTTGGCAAAAAAAAAAAAACCTCTCTTAAGTGTTCAAATATTAGCACCAACCCTTGATGCGCTCTCCATTTTCTGCCAAGGCTTGTCTTTCTGATTCCTAATTGATGTCTCCGCTCTTATTCTTCATCACTAAGATAYTTAAAAATTCATTTGAAGGAGCCACCTGATATCTGAAACAAGGAGAATATTAAATTAGTCCCTATGCAGCCATGTATCCAGGGGGCCCTTGATTAATGTTAATTGGTGATGACAGCATCTCTGTTGTGCAAATTAAGAATGGCACAAACAAGACACGGTGGAACATAAAATAAAATCCTCTGCAGGAAGGCAGTCCAGATCTTACAGGGTAGGAAAGCACAACTCCGATTGCACACACAGCTTTGTTACCATGTAATGCTRAGGTGAAATAAGCAAAAGCAAATGTGTAGAATGTAGTTTGTCTTGTAAACAAGCCAATGATGACTGCAGTAGAGTTCTGCTTCACAGAGAATGACAGAAAAACCAAATGGCAGGTGGTAAAAATAATTTACTCACTTCCTAGGTTTGCTAGAAATGTATTACAAGGACTCAAGGAAGAAGAATATTTTAATCTTTATTGTTAAGCAAAAGCCTATCCCCAGTTTATGAGGCAAAGATGTAGAAATCAAAAAAAAAAAAAAAGGACAACCTCAGTAAAGAAGTTTTGTAATCTGTATTCTATCAGCTCTTATCTTTTCTGCTGCTGTAGGAAATAGACCCAGAAACCTACAAATTTCCACGTGTTTTTTGGGATTCCCCAGTAGCTATCTCACATGTGCTTTCAGCTGCAATATACAGCAGCACTGACACTTATTCCAGTAACCACACTTCCYTCAGTGTCACTCTTGTGACCCAGCCATCAGGGCCACATTAGTTTGGTGCTGAGACTTCACTGGGCACAGGTACTCCCTGAACTGTCCAAACCTAGGAGTAATCTGTGACAAAGTGCTTTTCTCCCTCTTTTGTGTTACCCTCTTTTGAGTGAGTACAAAAGTGTCCTAGAGAAATTAAAAAAAAAAAAAGTGTCCTAGAGAACTTTATTTTTCATTTCTATTGTAGCCTTACTTATCTCCAAGGTCTCAAAGTGAAGCCCATGAACCCTAGGTCAGAAAGTGATTCCTCAAGTAATAGATGTCATGCTGTGCTTCTTTCTCCCACTAGCAGGCCCTCTTACTGGAACAAGAGTACCTTACCTGGCTCACTCTTCCCTTTGTTGATTTCTGATTCTAATACAAATAGATTTCTGTCTGTAGCTTCTATATAGGGCAATTCTTTTGACCCAGTAATTCCTCTTCACACATGGGGGRAAAAATTCATTTCAGTTTACTTAATGCATTGTTTGTAGTAACAAATGCCGGGAAACAACCTACCTGTCCATCTAGAGGGGACTAGGTAAATACTAGTTAAATACTTTTCRTTCATCCAAGACTCCGGGTAAGAACATGCTCTGCAGTGGGTCCCAGAGGGCAGTGCAGGCTGCTGTACTACCTAGGGTACTTAGATGGGTTGGACCCCCTTCGGGCAACAAGTAATAAGTCTGTTCAGGTCCAGCCAGGAAAATAGAAGCTACCTAGGCATCTCAACAAAGAAATTAATATAAGCTATTGGTTATTTAGTTATTGAGAACTTCAAACAGCTAAAAGGAGAAAAAGGGTCAGTAATTCCAGGAAGCAATTCATGCCCCAAGACTGAGAAAACAAAGGGAAAACAAACATTAAGGTTAAGAGAATCAGAGGTTTTTCAGGAGAGGCCTTGGGGAAGGGTCACTGGCCAGGGACGTGATTGCCTCTGAGTAAATAGAATGAGGCTACCTCTGGGAATGTCAAAAATAGGAAAACTGGAGACTGCAATCAATAGACACGACRGGGTAAAAGGTCACTGTTTAGGTACTCCTGAGAGGAACAGCAAGCTAAGAGAGCATTCCATTCTCTATCCCGTGTCCTGTCCTGGCAAACCTCACAGGGAGCAGGCCTCCTGGGTTGCAGTCTGAAGGGTGAGACAGGAAGTGACAGGCAACAGCATATTAATTGTACACACCCATAGAGCCCTTGAAGAGGAAGGGGCATCTATATGAGCTAACAAGAAAGACTCAAGAAAAAAAGCAAGTTGTAGAGGTGTGTGATAGTATACCATCCGTTGAGATTAAAGGAAGAAAAAAAAATGACATATGCCGTCGTATAAGGGCACAAGTCACAGGCACGTTTTCCCTCACTCGTGAATCTAACTCCATTAGCAGAAGCTATCAAGATGAAGAGCATTTTATTCAGCTTTCTTATAAAGATATGGAAGCTTTAAGGTATTGTTGGTTACCATTAGAGCTGGTCTCCTTGCACAAAAATAACTCCTGTTGGGCAGCCAAGCCGGGGAATTGGCCTTGATCTGGACTGCCTGGACTCAGCCATTCATCACATAAGAAATAAGTGAACATTATAAAGAGGAAAAAGTTTGTTTAATGTGGTTAAACTGACTAAACTAGGGAGAAGCATCTAGATTGTTTCTATTCTGGTCCTACAGAAGCATTTATAATTCATAGAAACAAAAGCCAGGAGATCATATACAGACTTAGCTATGCTGTGCTAGCCAGGGAATCTGTCAGTTTTAGTTTGCTTGGATTCCATCTAGACCATGAGATAGTTTTTTTTTTAGCTTCCATTTTCAGCCTAAGGAAGTTGGGAAGTTAAAACACTTCAGAGCTTTTAATTCCAAAGGGACCTTTACTTCCAGTGGTCTTTTCTACATTTACCTTAATCTGTGTACATCACAACAAGGATGCTGATCCTTTCAAAGACCAAAAACAACAAAATCCTTTGGAACAACTTTTATTTGTGCTTGAAATATAAATACACTCACATACGACTCATTCTATTCAAAATAGGTACTCCTGAGAGGAACAGCAAGCAAAGAGAGCATTCCTGTCTCTATCCCGTGTCCTGTCCTGGCAAACCTCACAGGGAGCAGGCCTCCTGGTTTGCAGTCTGAAGGACTGCGATCACCTTGTGAATCTAACAATCTCCTGTCATCTCCCTGGTAGCAGCTGAAACAGTGGAGAATTGGTATTTGCCTCTAACTATATTTATTTTTATTTAACAACAGAAAAAAATTAAATATGATCCATACACATGAGACAAGGCTTGGAGAAATGAGATACAAAAATGAGTAAGACATCACTCCTGCCTTCAAAGACAATCTCAGCCTGGGAGGGAAGGGGTGGGAGAAACACACAAAGAACACAGGAGATGAAAAGAAATGAGGAAGCGAGGCAGGGGTTCCACATGAGCACCCGGATATTCTAGAGATGCTTTTACATCTAGTGCCAGAAAATTGGATCCAAAAAGGGACCTGAGAGCAGGCAAGATAAAGGAGCTGCTTTTAAATTTCATCCTAGAAAACACCTGATCCAGGGCCTTTCACTTTCTCTTTGTTCTGCCCTGGGTAGCTGAATCCAGGCCAGACCTTCCTTGGGAAGATTCACCTCACATTTGCTCCAGATCAGTTCCCAAAAAGGTAAAATGTGATATCATGCTGCCTTTTCTCCCCGCCCCCACACATACACCTCTGCTCCATTCGTCTCCCCCATCTCAGCCCCATTGCTTCCAAAAATCAGAGTAGAGCTTTCTAGAAACTACTATTTTGTCAACAAAGTGATAACAACTGCCTTGTGTTTGCACATATGTAATTTTCTCTAAAATACCATAAAAGGAAACTGAAATTCCAATTTCCAGGCTTCCAGTTCTTGAGCTGTGTAACTTTCTCTCCAGTGAG